ACCAGGATATTCTTGCTGGAGGAACAGACACGACAGCCGCAACACTCGAATGGGCAATGACAGAGCTCTTAAGACACCCATCGACCCTCGAAAAGCTTCAGGAAGAAGTTCGACAAGTCGCGAAAGACAAACGGGACATAACAGACAATGACCTGGCGAAAATGAAGTACTTAAAAGCCGTCGTGAAAGAGACCTTACGCTTACATCCCCCAATCCCATTGCTTGCTCACGAAGCAAGAGAAGACATTCGGTTCATGGGATTCGATGTCCCGCGCGGGACCATGGTCATAACGAACGTATGGGCCATTGGGATAGGTCCCAGTACTTGGGAAGAGCCCGAACAGTTTCTGCCCGAGAGGTTTTTGAGTTGCTCGATCGACTTTAAGGGGCTCGATTTCGAGCTCATCCCGTTCGGGGCAGGGAGGAGGGGCTGCCCGGGAATTACATTCGCGGTAGCTAGCGTTGAGCTCGTTTTGGCGAGTCTCGTGCGGGAATTCGATTGGATTTTGCCTAATGGAATGAAATGTGATGATTTGGATGTGATAGAGCAGCCTGGTGTGACTATTCATAGGAAAAATCCACTTTTGGCTGTTGCAAGTAAATGTTATGTCTAAGTGATGATCAATTTCATGTAACAGTTTGGTTTTTACTTGTAATTCAACTGGTCTTGTGAGATTTGATAATTGTTCTGTAAAACTTGGAAGAAACAATAGAAACCAACATGAAACAGACAATTTTAATTTTTAAACAAATGTCAGAAGGAATGTGTTGAAGTCCAGTGTCATTTACACTACAAGAAAAACTGCATTTGGCGACGCTTGTTAATGACGCTTATTGGCGAGTTGTGTTGCTAAATTTGATGTCAGAAAAAAATAAGCGTCAGTAAACAAAAAAATAAACGTCGCCAAATGTAGTTTTTCTTGTAGTGGTAAGTCAATGTCCAGACTTGGTCAAGAATTTATTTTGGCCAAAATTATGGGTGTTTTTGCACTTTTCTCTAAAATCAATGGGCCAAAGAAAAAATTATGATTTGGATTAC